ATGCTAATAATATACTTGTTTCGTATAGTAAGTGATAGATAGGTAATAAACAGAGCATTTTAAAATTTGGTGGTCCTGAAAAGGACCTTTTGAGTAGGTATGCCTAGTCCTGAAAATGACTTTTTAAGTTGGTATGCCTAGTCCTGAATAGGACTTTTTAAGTAGGTATGCCTAGTCCTGAAAAGGACTTTTAAATATGTCTAGTTCTAAAACTATTAATTAACTAAATTAAAGTACCACGTCTGTCACTGGATACGTCATAACTCCAACAGTAATTAATTTAATAATGTTTATTACAATAAACTGCAGCACTCGCACATATATTTTAACGCAGACGTTAAGACGAAACCACCGAAAACGGAAAAAGTGTAAGACACAAGCGAATATTCGTACAAGACGTCAAGACAGAAATGACTAATGAATAAATAATGATAAATATAAAATTATTATCAATAGATATTACAACGGACAACGGTTTAATTAGGACTGTCCCGAATCTCGATTGTAACAACAACATCTTTACTGATAATGTGTTTTTACGTTGAAATGCCGGCTGACTATATATTCCTGTATACCGAGTCTATTTTTATTTCATAGGCGATGTAAGTCGAGCCTCACAATGATCATTACGCATGCGCAACTCTAGTTATTTTATAGTCGCGTGCATTCGCGTACATACGCTTGTGTGTGTAATTCATGTACACAATAGTACATACTCTGAGGCGGAGATGAACGGTGCCTTCTGACGTCATCGGAACATTACCGCCGGTTGAAACACCAGCGTTTGTTTACGTAATACTTATATTTTCATTCATTTCTTATCGGTTTATCACTATTTTTTGGTAATAAACACTAATGATATGATTTACCATTATTTTACAATATAATAAATGATAATTCATATTGTTAAACTTGGCAAAGAAGATTTTTTCTCAAATAAAATCATAAAAACGTTAAAAATTAATATCGAAATATTTATATGCTATCGGTGGGCCAAAATATATACTTTAATAGTATTTTTTACTTAAAATTGTAGGTTAGGCGGCGCCTTACTTGCCTCACCCTCAAAACCGCCACTGGCGCCATATATGGTTAAAACTGGAGATGCATTAAAAGTGTTTTACTCAAATATCATCCATGTAACATGCGTAGCACATATGTTAAACAGAGTAGCAGAAAAGGTAAGAGAGTTATTCCCCGATGTAAATAAATTAATTATCAATGTAAAAAAATCTTTTTTAAAGTCACCTTCTCGTATTCAACTATATAAAGAAATGCTACCTGGTTTACCATTGCCCCCGGAACCAGTTATTACAAGATGGGGGACATGGATAGAGGCAGTTATATTTAATGCAAATAACTATGAAGGTATTAAAAGTGTAATAGAAAAACTAGATAATGATTCTTCAGCAAGTGTAGATAATTGTAAAAAAATGTTCAATTTGACTACAGTGAAAAATGATTTAACATTTATAAAAATTAACTTTTCTGGACTTATTCGGGCAATCACAAACTTAAAAGATACTAAATTGACATTATTACAATCGTTAGAGATTACGAAAAATATAATTTCCGAACTATCAAATATACAAGGTGACAAAGGTTCTATCATAAAAAATAAAATATCTCAGTTATATCAAAAAAATAAAGGATTTCAAGTTCTAGAACAAATCGGACTAGTTATATCAGGTAACAATGAAATACAGATTCCAGAAAATTTCAATCCTTGCTCTGTGGCAAATATGAAATATGCACCGTTGACGTCAGTAGATGTGGAAAGATCCTTCAGTCTATATAAACATATATTAAGTGATAGAAGAATAAATATGACACCTGAACATATGGAAGAGTATATTATTGTTAACTCTTTTTATAAAAAGTAAATATCGATTTATATCTATTAGGTAATTAAAATGTTTTTATTTGTTTAAATTGTTTTTTTTATATATATAAATTGTCTTCATTGGTATAAAAGAATTAAATACATTTTTTTTATTATTATTTTTAACTAAAGTGCACTTTATTAATTTAATGTCATTTTTAAACATTTTTTGTCTTTAATTAATGTTGTAAGTTGATGTCGCAGTGCCGGTAATAAAAAAATTAAGTTTGTTTGATTATGTTGTATTAATTATTATTTATTAATATATAAAGAAAAAATTAAAAAAAAAAATTATAAATGCATATATTTTGGGTAAGAGCATATTTTTGCATATTTTTTAAAAAAAATAAGAGCATATCTAGTGCATATTTAAAGGTTTTTTGATGCATAAATGCATACTATTTTAAGGTTTTTAAGTACATACAAATCCGGACCCTAGTGATAAGTCTGTTAAATTTTACTAGATTTTTAGTAAAATTTTAATTTGAAATCATTGTTATTTAAAAATGTAACTGCTTTTTATCTAGATAAATTATATTTATTTTTTATCTATTAAATAGATAATTTTGGATTTGTTCATTTTTATCTTTATCTTTATCTAGATTAAAAAGTATTTATCTGGGTTCAACACTGCGTACCGGAGCGTATGTGCCCGTGTTTCGTGTCATCGTACGACCAGTGATAATACAGTTTATAAATATTCGTTTGTTTACATTTTTATTATTATTATTATTATTATTATTATTATCTTTTAAACATCATACATAAAACTAACCAGTTACTTATGGGTATTTTTGAAATCATTAACACAAATATTGAACAGTATTTAGTAGGTAGTGATGACAACAATCGAATGATTCGATTATTTGAAATAATACATTTTTGTTACAACTATGGATTATTTTTATTATTATTTTGTGCGTTGAAAATATTTAAAATGCACTTTCCTCCCGCGTAAAAATTATGCCCTCCACACTGTGTTATATCAATGGTCATAGCTATTTGGACACGTTGTGTATTATTCCCAAAGGTTTCTTTTCATGAGCAATACACGGATACGGAATAATAACGGTGGCGTATAACACAATTAATGTATAAAATATATAAACCGACTTGTTTCGTTGCTATGGAAATTTGTGTCCATTGTACGGCACTTTCTATGGTGTAAAATGTCCTAAGGGTATACACTCTAATTTTAGTATAATTTATTCTCTCGCGACACGTGATACTCACACTGTACATAATCTGCAATGTGTATACTATAATGTACTATACGCGTGTACACTTCACGACACACGGCGACGAGCGGTAATGGTTAATAATTCAACGATAATGATGATTGCGTACCGGTGCTGTGGATACTTCGTGATACGAAGAAAACAATAACGCGATGTTCTAAGAAGTTCGTAATTTCATTTAATAATGCACATGAATAATTATTACCATCGAGTTATTACGCGTAGGTATAGAGCGGTGTTGTACAGCACGAGAATTATTATTAATGCACTCGAATTTCTTATTTGTCGATGAGTATTTTATAAAATATAAACGCTTACCGAGATAAAACGAACACGTTATATTATTACGTAGATGGATATCCATCCATGTACCTAAACAGTGGTGCCGAACAGAAGTATTTTCCATTTAAAATAGTATATTTAATAGTTAAAACTATATAACGTCTTTAATTATTAAAGATGCTTTAAAAAATGTTTTGGTATTTAAATGGGTGGTGAATTGGAAGGGGCGGGTGGTTAAAGTTAATTATTTAAACGCGTAAAAAATGATTCGTAAAAAATTCCGTTGATAAAAGCAAACAATTTAACCATATTGTATAGAAAAGGTTTCCGATTTTTCTTCTTGTTTAGAAACACTCTTAAAACAATTATACTGCAAGAAAATAATCGTTACGGAATTAAAATAAAATCGATTACCTACATAATACAATACGACAGTGGTTTCGTAAATTTAAATACGTCTCTAAACCGTATGGTTAGTTATTATCAAAATTCTAATTTCGATGTAAGACATTTTGTTAAAACAATCGTTGCGTCTTCGGATGAATAGGACCAGTGCTCGACTTGAAGGGGGACGCAGGGAAACGGAGTACCCGAACTAATTTTCAGAATTTTTAGCGTCCCTCTATTATTATTACGCTAAAATCATAACGCTCAGTCAGTTTTGCGATCGTCCTTTTTATTAAAGTAAATAGAGTCCCCCTTTAATTTTGCCAAGTCGAGCACTGAATAGGACACTTATTACCTGATCGAACTCATCAAAATTGACAACTCCAACCGTTTTTGACGAGTACTCTTTGGTTATGCAAGATTATTTCAAACCATTTTGTAATAATTATTAGATCTCGAATCGGTATTGGAAAAAAAATATATTCAAACAATTTTTTTCGATATTCATATTCACCTTTCTACATAGTTTAGATCACTTCAGTAACGTTCAATCTCAATTTTTCTCGACACGTTAAGAGTTTTAAGAACAAATATGGTTATGAATATTGTTCTTGACAAAAAAATAAAGTGGTATCTATTACTAAAAATTATGATACGTAAATGTATACATTAGTTTTTTGTTTTTTAGGATTATTATGATTTAAATCAAACAAGATCTGTAACAACATTTATTAAATTCATATGAAAACGCAAGTCGTTGTGAATTTCAGTGGCATACATAGGTTAGTTTTTTTCGTGGGGGGGGGGGTCAAGGTAAAAATATAACACATTTTACAATTAACAAAATTATGCAAATCCTTAATATATTTTGACTTAAATAATAGCATTGATAATAGAATAGACTATTCTATAATCAATGATACTAGATATTCAATACTAGCTCTTCATATTTCTAACTTGTAAAATTTGTAAATTTTAACCTAGACATCGGAGAAAATTTCAGAGGTTACAACCCCTTACTCTCCTGCGTGCGCCACTGGTGAATTTTCCTAATCAAAAACCTTATGAGTCAAACAAGATAAACAATTAGTTTTTATAACAATACTAACTATTATTCTTATGGTGGAGTCTTGTACCTATGACGCGCAATAAAAATATTTGTAATCGACATCGCGCGCGTTTTCCGATGAACAAAGCGTGTACGCGAAAAATAAATAGATAAAACATAGTCAATTTAATATATAAAATAAATGTGAATATTATTTTTATACAAAAATGTGTACCTATGTCTAAAATTGTTTGGGAGGTTTTTGGAGTGCACAAGTATTACATTATATATCGTGAGTAGTCGATTGAAATGCTAATGTAAGTATTATAAAATATACGTTCATCATCGTCGGTCGAACACGTGTTAATAAGATATAAATTATTGATTTGCGATTATGTTGATTATGGTATGCGTCATGGACATATTGCAAAACGATACACCGGACCGTAGCAAGGGGGGAGGGAGAGGTACCCCCTTATGTCCTGGGGGTGCGACGATTCTCAGTAGAAACAAAAAACGAAAAATTCGCATTTCATGTTAAAAATTGAAATGGTCAAAGTTGTGCGTTTTATTTACAAAACCTTCGACGTCCCAACGTATTAGTCAAGGCGGTCATCGAAATAAATAATATCCAATAGTTATTAATATTTTTAAATTAAAAAAAGAGTGCGTTCCGAAGTAACAGCCTTGGTGGCTGCGGTGCTGTTGACGCAACGGACGCGTCATAGACGTGTCCGGTGACAGTCAAACGGTGTCTTGCGCATTTACGGATATCCATTTCAGGAACGAAGTGACTTTGGTGTAAACGCCGGGTATGCCGGGCTCGCCGCAGCTAATGCCCCACGACACTATGCCGACGTTGGTCCACTTGCCGTCCTGTCTCTGCGCCAACAGCGGACCGCCAGAATCGCCCTGTATACATACGAATCGGTAAAATGTGTCGACGCGTTTTACAACATTCTAAGCTGGTTTGCTTACCAAACAACTGTCTTTGCCACCCTCGTAGGACGCAGCGCACAGGTTTGTCTTGAAAATCGGTTGCGAAAAAGCCGCCACGCACTGGTCGTGTTCCCATATCGGTATCGCCACTTCCAGCAGAACATCGCTGAGCTGACCACCAAAAACCGTTTGACCCCAACCTGCGGTGTACGCAAACCGTAAAATGAAAAGAAAATCAAACGTTGAATCGGACGGAATAACGTATACAAAACGTTGTACGTGTCCTCGAGATATTAGTAGGTAATGTAGACGGTAAAAGCATACACGCTTCTAAAAACCGTTGTTATTCGATCAAGATCACCGAAAGTACCGCGCAACGCTGATGATAATATAGGATTTGTAGCTAGATCTTACAACCACCGGGTGATTTCGATGTCGGATATTTTCGATTTTTGTAAAAATTTGTTTTTCCGGGTGAAATTAGAAAATAGGGAACAAGAACACATATAGTATATTCCAGTGGTTTTCAATTGGTGGTCCGCGAGTTGATTTTAGGAGGTCCGTAGTTGGGTAGTATTGTAATGATATTTTAATTTAATTTTAGTGCAATTATTAATTTTTTTTAAAAGTATTTTTGGACTACTCTAATTCGATTATTGCAAACAAGTTAGATAATCATTTTTGTATAAATAAAAATCATCAACCTGACCCAAAAAATACGTGGATAAAAAATCAATTTTTCTGTGACATTGAAAAAATAGAAAATCTTTCTTAACAAGTACAAGATAAATTGATTTGATGGATAATGGAACGATGAAAAATATTTTCAATAATAAAAAACTAATTGATTTTTGATTAATTGTTCAAAATTATCAAAATCAACTGGTCGAGAAAGATTTGATCCCCTATTGCACAACATTTAGATGTGAAAAGCTTTTTCTAACTACTATTACTGACGCTGATTTAAGAGTGAAAACATCAAGCCCGCAGCCGAATTTGGATGAAATTATGAACAAAAAAGAATGATTTTACTTGTTTCATAAAGTTAAAAAATCAATGCAATAACTAGTTTAAGTAACTCATTAATAAATTGTAAAAGGTAATTGCAATAATGTTGTATGTAAAATCAAGTTTTAAATCAAATAAATCTTTTTACATAAAAATATTTTTAGAAAATGTGTGTGTATAATATTATGAAAAGGCTTGATTTTTTTTCATTTTCATAATTAAACAAAATTGAAAATTAAGTATTTACAAAAAAGGGTCCTCGGACCAATTTAGTTTATAGTTAAGGGTCCATGACTTTACACTAATTGGAAACCACTGGTATATTC